ACTGTACCATAACTTTTTAAGCCTTACGCATTCATGAGCACAGTTTTTATGTATATGCATAATTAATCAACTAATTAGCAAACATAAGCATATTATACACAACACCACAATAACAATATTTTGAAAATGGGTGTAAAACGTGACGTTTTTCTACTGTACCATTACATAAATAATGCACTATCATCTATGTGTAATAATTGTACATGTTTACATCGGCGTCAACACAATTTAGATCATGGGGGGGGGGGGGGGGGTTCGACTTGGCCCTGCCTGTCATTGATCAGGATCAACCTGGTTTGAGAGGTATGCAATGACCCAGCAGAAAGACAGAAATACATGTGTGTTCTCTTTAAAAAAACTATCACCGCAGGAGAATCGGAACATGTTTTGGTTTTCGTGTCTTCTCTGAACGAGGGTGAAACACCTAATCATTAAGCCTACACTGCAATCTTAACTGTTGCTATCCTTGCTCTACGGTTAGGCAAATGATTTTTTCTTCCCTGATGTCTCATTTAAAATGATAGAATCACTGTTGCATACATGATTCGGGGCTTGCTATCTGGCCTTTGAAAAATTTTTAACTCAAAACAATCATGAAAGATAAAGAACAGCCTTTTTGTAAGTGAAAACAAAACAATAATTCTCTTTCACTGAAATGGGGTTTTAATCATGTTAGTTCAGTTTTTTCTGCAAGTGGGGGGTGGTGTCGGTCTAAGTTATTTGCTGAAAATATGGGGGGGGGGGGTGAAACATAGGCCGCAAGTTTTTCTAGTTTTTCTTGATTTCTCCCCCCCCCCCCCCCCAAAGATATTGCAGATAATAAACCAATATTAGACAGTTGTGATTATGAAAGCTAGTATGTAATTTTTGTAATTAAAACTTTACTAGAATAATGGAGACGTCTTTCTCAGAATTATCTGAATGGCCATAGAACATTTGCAAACACTTGAAAAAAAATTTACTAGATTTTAAGTTTGTCAATTTTCATTGTACATCAAAACTTCTAGTAGTTGAAAGACAGTTATGTTGTTAATAACGAGGCGAAATTGAGTATTCCCGTTTTTTTGGGGGGGGTTTTGTTTGAAGTTACTTTTAGACTAGATCTAGTAATCATGCATAGAATTATCTAACAATTTTTAGAGAACAGAATTATGATTTTTGTCAGTTTTGATGGTGACATTGCCAACTTAACCAAGTAAAATGACAATGAAATGAGACTGAGAAATAAATGGAGAAAGAAGCCAGTATTTATTCTCATCAGTTACCCATCAGTATCAATGATGACGAAAGTAGTGAGCAGGCAGTATGCATGAGAAAATGTTTTCTGGGCGGTAGACATGGAGGTAGTAAAGTGCCAAGTGCTACTTGCCTCCCTTCAGTTTGGTTCTTTTTTTACTTTCGTGATATGCTTGAAAAGAGGTTTAGTCAATACATGTGGGATTAAGGCAGTATTTCACGTTAGGTGTGGAAATTTTAGTTTTGCCCAGGTGGAGACGTGACTCGCTACTCATGTAGAATTTTCAACTGCAAAGGGATGTATAACCAGCATTTATGTTGACATGCAGATAATCAGTGGAGTTCACTTAAACCAAAATCCAGATTTTCTTCGGTTTGGCTGGGTTTTCAGTAGACTGAAGTGTGGTTACATGGAAATCTTTTGCATTTCCACTCTTGTGATTGAACAGGGAGATTCTAGAAGATTTAACGATTGATTTTCATCTCAACATACTAGAAGCATAAAACAATGGATAGAATGTTTTCTTGTTGTTGCTAGCTTGAACACACACATGCAGGCTTGCTTGCTGTCTCTCTTTCTCTGTCTCTCATCCGCCGGTTTGTCACGTTGAACACAAAGGCACTGTACTGGAAAGGGTTAATTCTTAATTCACATCTGAAAAATCTCCTTTGTCAGTTGATAGTAACTCCTGAATTCGCCATTTTATTATGGTTGAAGGAGATCATTTGAAGGTCTCACTTGTTTCACGGTTGGTGTCACTCTTTTTTAGCACACTGTATGACATTATTTTGTCTATGTGCATTTTTGTTTTCTCAAAACAAACTAAAATAAACGCCCCAAAAAATGTATCCCTGCTGTTAAGGGAATTTGTGAAACTAAATATAGCACACTGTTTTGATATTGTTGGGGGGTAAGGCACTAAATATAGCTGAGATCCCTCCCTCCATGCTGGCATATCCAACCTCACCAAATGTTTATAATCTTTTGCGCATGGTTCAGTGCCCTTTTGGTAAGATGACTAATGTGTAACCTGTATTGCCTCTGCCCTTTATTCCAAGTCCGTGCTTCGAGAGTAAAGGTTCGGATTAGAACTGGTGAAAAGTTTGTTTCTATTTGTTAAAGTATTTTGGTGAATTTACACTTTGCATCAGTTTTTAGTTTTAACCTCAGTTTCACTATGTCAAATTGCTGTGGGAATTGTACACCAGAAAAATGGCTTCAGTTTTATGACTTCAAAACATCAGAATAGTAAGTTTGTGTCTATGTTATCATTCTATGCTTATTATGTTGGTGCTGTTTTCATGTTTCCACCTTCCAGGATGTTAAGGGGAGGTGGCTAATGAAAATGCCAAAACTCAGTTCCAACCATTTTGTAGCCACTTTGTATGCATTAATGGATACGTACACTTTTAAAAAGAGGTTTTGTGAAATACAAAATTCATATTTTATTTTTTTTTGTTCTTGTGGCGGCAAAAAATGGCGCTGATTCAGCAAAATTTCTTTATGTTTTATAAACAGTGTTTCTACAAAACCAATAAAGATAGAAGCTTCATACTTGGTATATATGTTATATATTGCTGGCTTCTCCTCCTCACAGAATCAGATTTCAAATATCTATCATACATTTTCCAAATTTTACCCTCACTTTGACCAATGTTCAGAATTCCATATTAGGCGATGCTGAAATGCAAAAATGACAAATAACTCAAAACAGAATCAATGTTCAGGAAAAGTGCTCTTGTAAGGAGGAGGGCACTTATCTTGGGAATAATGTGTGAAAATTTCAATGAAATCTGACTGTTAGTTATTGAGATACACTTTCTATAAAGTTACCAGTTAGCCGAAAATGCAATTTCGAGAAAAACGCAAACAAAGTTTTCGAAACATTGTGCAATCACAAACATCTCAGTTTTCACTAAAATCCAACATTATTCAGCAACATACATCACGTTTACACAGCACAGGCTATTTAAAAAGCTTTTTTGACAAGTTTTTACATCAATTCCATGCCCCCGGCCGCCCCCCCCCCCCAACTGTCCTCTCACAATTTAATCTCCGCCCCAAGAACGTAAACTCTCATTTGTCTTTCAGTTTCTGTTCTTAAATGGGAGAAGAAGCTAAAAATATCTATGTACGGTAATAGGACATTCAAGGGCTTGTGTGAAAATTTCAACCAACTCTGATTATAACTTTCTGAGATCTAATCAAAATAGTGCAGCAGATTTGGCAGAAAAGTTATTCCGGGAAAAACGCGAATAAAAATTTTGCATGCTGACATGCCTGTCTAAATTTATATGTTAATGTTGCCATACTGAATTGTTTAGGTAAATTGAGTTTGTTGTTACTCTTTTCCACATTAAGAAATCTTTAAATGATTTGGCAGATGACTGCCTTTCTTAGAATTAGAAGAGTCGAGACTTCGTCGAGCCCAAAAAAAAAAAAGCTGCTACCTCCCCTTCATTTTCTTCCCATGTGTTTTGGTTTTGCAATGGTGGAATCTAAGACTATGCAACCAAGAAAGGCACACTGTAAGCTGGCACTACATGATACTATCTAGATCTAGATCTGTATATTTTCTCAATTTGTTTTATCCTATGTATATATTTCTGCAGTCGCTTCTTTCAATCTTGCTTGAAGGGGTTAACTGGCTTTGGGAACACTGGTCTCCGATTTTTAAAAACCCAATAATAAAAAAGTTTTTAAAAAATTTTTAATAACACTAGGCCTTAGAGATTCCTATTGCTATATCTACGCTAAACAGACTTGTTCACTGCGAACAACCGGAGAGGCTATGGAAGCCATCAAAACAAATGTATCCTAGATCTAGATTCCTATAACTTTGTCGATCGTGTGCAACGTAGATCTGTAGATCTATACTTTGAATACCCCAGCCACATAATCATGGAAAGTAGTGAAGGCTATTATGTATTATACGTATAATCTCAACAGTTTAGATCCTGGATTAGCTCACTCAAAACGACTAAGACTAAGAAGACATCGAATCGAATCACGATCAGATAGACAGACGAGAGAAGACGAATAAGAAGGAGCATGTGTTCGGTAGGCCTTGTCGGGCCGAAATACTACACAGAATTGCAAATGGAGATGATAACAATAATTATTCAGCCTGTAAACTAGATTTATTAGCGTTGAAATCGGCAACACGATAGACAACTCTTTGAAATGCAGCGAAAACGTTCACGTTCTGTCTTGCGGCACGCAGTAAACAATGGCCTGCGAGGGGAATCCCCTTCGTTGCTACCGGCTCGGCGAATTAAAATTCACAGTCCGGTCACGTGACGGAAGGGGCCAACCGGTATTTGGTACGGGGTCTTCAAACATACCTAAATGGGTCCCCAGAGTAGTTCCGTACGAAAACGAAAGTGCAATAATCGAATAGCTCTTATCACGGCCTTTCCAACGATACCAAACTTGATTACCTTGCAGCCACGGAAAGTGTTGTTGTCAAGGGGTAAAGTTTAGCATGTCTTGACGTTTTGTTTGAATTTTTTTGCCCCCCTTACCGCTTTCAAATACATTTTTATATATATTAGAGGTCTCCTTAGGTTTTGGGACCTTCACAAACGGATTCTTGACATATTTTTCTGTAAGAATATCCAAATACTCGAAGTTCCATTTTTTTTGTTGCAAATACCCGATTTTCTAGGGGATCGAGACCCGCGGATCCCCTTAAAGCATTTTAATGAACCGACATTGAATTGTAGTTCCATAAACAATTTTTTTTTCTTTTCTTATTTCACAGTGATTATTTGTTCAAGCTCTTGCTAATTGGCGATTCAGGTGTTGGAAAGTCATGTTTGCTTTTGCGATTTGCGGTAAGTTTAGTGAATTGTTTATAATGCATCATAGCACTTTGTCTTCAGGGAAATTCACTTGCAAAGCTATTGTTAGAGTGGGATACATAATACACAAAAGGGTATGTGCAGAAATGTGCGAAAATATTGATTTCAATTAATGGAATGACTTGTTTGATCTGCTTTTTATCAGTTTGTTGACTGTTATGGTATAGTACCCAATGTCTTTGCAACAATTTTGATCCTATTCGTTGAATAAATACAATGGTTGAGATTATGTTTTTGAAATGCCTATAATCTTTATTCAGTAGGGTCTACTTCAACAAAATATGATTATTCTTGGGGGGGGTGTTGAAGACATGTCTTAATCATTAATGAGGAATAATGTTTTCTACAACTACTGTACATTGGTTTTTACTTACTCTTCTCTTTTTCCAACAGGATGACACGTACACAGAAAGCTACATCAGTACGATTGGTGTCGATTTCGTGAGTTTTGTTTCTTTTTGTTTAATGTTATTTTGCTTGTGTTAACTTAAAAATATTTATATTTTTATTTTTATATGTGTGTATTTCTTGCTGATTGGAGGACGTTGTTGACAGGTCTTACTTCACTGACTCTATTTTATTCAAGCAGTGTCAGCGTTGTAGTTGTTCATCATCCCTTTGGTCTTGCAATGTCAAGTGGCGTATTAACTCTTAATGCTGAATATTATGCTTTTGAGTACCTTGGTTAATTCAATAAAAGTAGCAGAGGTTTTTTATGTTGTCTTCTAACTCCTCGATTTTGTTGTTGTTTGGGGGGGGGGGGGTATTGGGATGGGGAAAGGGTGTTCTGCCCTTTGGTTGATTTATTTGTTCATCTATGGTAATTTGTCTACTTTCTGTGTATTCACCATTTTGTTTGTTTGTTTTTTTATTGCAGAAAATCCGGACGATAGAGCTGGATGGAAAAACGATAAAACTTCAGATTGTAAGTGGGTTTTAAGTTTTTGTTGTAAAGCAAACATTTTTTCCATTTCATTAGCTGCATAACATACATTGCTTTTTTTTTCAAAAACCAGTAAAATAAATAATGCTCAAAGAATAGTAGCAGGCATATGTGTTTTAGATGAAATCATGTCGGTGCGTAAAATGTCATCACATTTCTGTTTCACATAGTATTTGTCGGAATTCACCCGTAGTAATTATCATAAACAGGTTGAAAAAAGGGGATTGTGCGTTTTTAAAATTATTGTCCCATACTCAGCCCTGTACAGGCCTTTTTTTGCTTTTGGTGTAGTGGATCTTTTGAAGGGAAGGGTAATCATTGAGAATTGAGAACAAAGAGAATGAGTTTGCTATTTAGTGACAGTCTCACATTAACACATAAGTTGTCAAGTCTTTTCCATTTCCATTTACCATGATCATATTTACAAAAGTATAGCGCAGCATGTCTCTTATATCAAAAAGGTCACGGCAAATGGTTTTAAAAGAAGAGTTTTATAGATTGTCTTGATTCCAGATTAAACTGACATGTGCTTCTTTTTGTCGTGTTTCAGTGGGACACGGCAGGCCAAGAAAGATTCAGAACAATCACATCTAGTTATTACAGAGGTGCTCATGGCATTATTGTCGTTTATGATGTCACAGACCAGGTAAGGCTCCCATGTTTCACCACAGGAAATTGGACGTTTTAAGCTTTGTGGTGTCTTGATAATTATGAGAATGTCATGCAAAATTTTCTCAGATGTTTTATTTTCCTTTTGTTTTCCTCGTTTTAAAATAAAAGATGCATGTATGGACTGTTCAGAGTTGAACAGTCAATGTATGTTTGTGGAATTGTTTTCTCCTCAGCGGCAATGGTTGGTCGATCTTAGACAGGTTCAACTATATTATATGACAACAAGGAGAAAAGTTCATTTTCCCTATTTTGGGTATTAAAGGAGAAATATGGGGGGGGGGGGGGTGTAACTTTAGATAGCTAGATATTGTCCTTGTGGCTGTAATTTTTCACTCCTTTCAGTTTGCCTTAAAGAGGTTTTGTGATTATGCAATTGCAGGAGTCTTTCAACAATGTGAAACAGTGGCTGCAGGAGATTGACAGATATGCCAGTGAAAACGTCAACAAATTGTTGGTGGGCAACAAGAGTGACTTGACTACAAAGAAAGTTGTGGATTTCACCACAGCAAAGGTGAGCACATCGAGATGGAAGGAATTTTTAGAATGGCTTCTTACCATTGCGCTAGTTGCATGTCTTGAAACGGTTTTGTTTGTCAAAACTTCTAGATCTGCTGTTACAATGTATTATCAGTTTTTTACAAAATGATAACTGCTTCTCGTGGTTAAATATCTAGTTGAATGAGATTTTGTTTATTGTGGAAGGAAAGACCTGAAAGTCTGAGAGTGACCAGTTGCCACGGAACCTTCCGAGCAGCTCGGGGTGTTTCAGTGCTCGGAGAGTGTGCGGAGCAGACACTTGAGGTGGAATTTAGCAAAAAAATACTGATGTTCAGGGTGCTTGTTCTTTATTATCCTCTCTCTCTCACTCTATTTTTTTTAATTATGGAAAAACCTGTGTTTTGTATTAGTATTATTGATGCAGTTGTTGTGAATGCGAGATAGTGTAATAAGCGAGTTGGTAATACATAAATGCCCGTCTCTTGTCATTGAATTTCTTCTCAATAAGCACCTGAGGTGTAAGAATGAAAGGTTAAAGATGTAGGTGACAGTTATCTCTTAGCTGACAGTTTGTCAATGTTAATGTGACTGGTTATTTAATGATATGAGCGTTTTGTCTTTCCATTTGATCTAAATATTTGTTTTGCTTGCTGTTGTTCCCCAGGAGTATGCTGACCAGTTGGGTATACCCTTCTTGGAAACTAGTGCAAAGAATGCTACGAATGTAGAGCAGGCCTTCATGACCATGGCTGCAGAGATCAAGAACAGAATGGGCCCAGTCACCACTGCGTCAGATAATAAACCTAGTGTGAAGATCAACTCTAGCACTCCCGTCAACGCAAACAAAGGTGGCTGCTGTTAATGTTGATACTTTTTTTTTTTTTTTTTTTTTTCCTTTTTTTTTTAAAGACCTCCCTCGCGTAAATGACTTCAGTGGGTATTTGTATTTGTTTTTGGTGGGCATCGAGGTATGTGTTCATTGTCACTCTTGGAAGAAACCCAACTAGGCTCTGACAAAGAGTTAGTGGAGTGAAACCTGTCCTACCTTTTAGTCTACTGTTCATGATAACAGTGCTAAACTGTTCAAAGAAAATTGTTTAGTGCGAGCAAAGTATTATTTTGCTTTCCTTAAAGTGCAATTATCTCTCCCATGTGTTTCTCTCCCAGCTGTAGCTTTGTTTCCCCGTACTCTTATATCTTATCTTCATTTCTGCCTTAAAATGTTTAGTTCAGTGCTTTACGACTACTTAAAGATTTCTCCTCTCCTCCTCCTCCTCCCCCCCCAGGAATTAGATGGGCAGGTTTTACGCAGTATGCGCTCTCAAGGGAAATAATTTTGAGCAGAAGCCCTCCATTGCTTGTGTTTGTGTGAAGTCTTTAGATCATCTCGTTTTCGTTCTTTCTTTTTTGTCTTCTTGTCATATCCAAAAGTTCTGAGATTTTTATCCACGCCCACTGCTTTTTACCACTTTTTGACCCATTGAAGATTGTTCACCTTTCGATTTGGGTTTTGTATTGGGGGCAGCCTTTACAGTATATTTTCTGTATCTTCATTTTTGAAAAAAAATCTCAAGGTTTTTTTTCCCCTTTGTATTTATTTTTTTTTTTTTTCCAATAAACCTAGTGCTTGGGTTTAACAGGCGATTTGATAGTAATATGGGGGCTTCCTTTAGCACAGGTCGGCAGAGGAACAGCCAGATGCTTTGTGGTTTGGCTAAAGCTGACCTTGGAAGTGAACTTTTTGGAGTTAAATAAGTACAACATCGGTGCAAGTGGCTGAATGTGATGAATGTTGTCTTGATTCTACTTTTGCTGCTCTCATTGAAAATCCGGGAACAATTAATCTTGGACAAGTGTACATTTCCATGTTCTGTGGGAAGTTGTTTTTTTGTTTTTTTCCTCCATTGTTCTGTGCGTTGTCTTAGGGAAGTGCAGATTGTTGTGATGCGTTGAATTCAGAGAAAAGGAACTGGTCTCTGGATGCTGACTTTTGGTGGCCTGCCATACATTGTGACTTACTGTGGTATATATAACATGTATTTATTTCAGTCTAAAAAAAAAGTTTGATGCTTTTTCACAAGGTGGTTTGGCCCTAGTCGGTGGTACCTTCTTTCTTTGTTTCTTCTTCTTCCTTTCTTTTTTTCTGTCTTCTACTTCTTCTTTTCTTTCTTTTTCTTTTTTGAGTGTTTATTGTGTGCTGAGAAAAAATGTATGATGGATGAGCACTGTGGTCATCCATCCCTGATGTATAAACTTGTGATATTCTATGGGAAGTCAAAAAGGGATTAATTTATTTTTTTTAAGGATACTCTTCAGAAAACATTTTCATGCCTTTGAAATTTGGGTCTTTGGGTTTTTCGCATTTTTGGCTTTTTTTTTTTTTTTTTTTTTTTCCATCCGTTGGTGTTAATCTCGGATATATAGTCTCCCAAAGCATAAATATGTTTCTGCCTGATTCAGAATAGTTCAAGTTTGTGCTGTGATCCCACTACCCAGACATGCTCACACTGGCACACTTCTTGAACAGAGCAAATGTGATTGGCTTATCATACTGTGTGCCTCATGAATGGAGAAGTGAAATTGTGGGGTTTTGTTTGTGTGGGTTTTTTTTAATATTGAGAAATCAGTCTGCTCTTTCTTTGATGCATGTTTATACTCATTTGTTGGTTCCGTGTCATTTTTTTCTTTTTCTGCCCCCCAAGACTGAGTCTAGAATGTTTGATCATATCATCATGTGTTCTGTGTGAGGAAGATTTCATCATTTTTTTGTCCATGCTGAAAAGTGTATCACCCTATAAGTAAGCTATAGAGTTGTGTGGCGGACTTCTATTACAGGAAAATGAAAGAGTGCCAAGACATTCCAATTGCTTTTGGTTATTGGGCATCTTTCCGTGTCCTGAAATTGTTCGTTTGTTGGTTTTTCTGCGTCATCGGTAAAGGCTATGTAGTGTGTACCACCCTGTGGAATAAACTTGTCCCCTTGATGCTGGCAATTGGTTGGGACTCCACAAAGCTTTTTTTCCCCTCCTCTGAGGGTTGTTTTTTTTTTTTTTTTTTTTTTAATATAATTTTTTTTTCTTTAATCCTGTATGAAATTTTGAGAATGATAGATCATTATCCGTTTTGTTTTGCAAAGGAAGTCTTGACTGCTTTCCCTTCCAACAACAAATACTCTCTTTTCAGATCTATTTAGGTCACTGTTGTTCTTTGTTTTAATAACTTTTTGCCTTCAGTTTTCAAAGGGGTAGTTGAAATTTGTGTTGTGCTCAGCACAATCTCCAAGTGGAGTAATTCTTGAAATTATAACGCTGCTCTTGCTCATTGTAGAAAATGAGATGATTTGCTTCCAATAGGAGCCAGTGGAAATTTTTTTAAAGATTTTTTTTGTTTGCTCCCATGCACCCAAGTGTGTTGAGATCTTCTGGCTCTAATTTGTCTCTCCAATTGCTGTAGTCGCCATAGACCCGCGTCTCTGTGAAAGCAGATAATGAAGGCTTTGTGACTAGAATACTCTTCACACAAGGGAATAGTTGTGTATTCGCTGCATTCAGTGTGATGACTGGATTCTGTGTTTTTTGTTTTGTTTTTGTTTTTCATGGGATTTTTTTTTCTCTCCCCTCCTTTTTCATATTCATACCTCCCTTCTTTCCCATTGGATTCCTCCATGTATGTACTGTTCGTTACCAAGATATTTTGAATGACAAGTTTGAATGTGGGCTGTATAGCTTGATCCAGTCACACCACCAACATCTCTCGCGTAGGCCAGGGCGCTGCTCCGGCCGGACACAATCCTTCCAGGGGCGGCCATGAACGAGTTCTGGAGAAAATGCTTACGTCAGTGGTTAAATGTGAACATGTTTGGGGTGTTTGTAGAAAGCTCAGTGCAGCCACAAAGGTTCACATGACTGTTCCTTGTGAAAAAAAGGTGCCTGGTGCCTAGGAGGATTGGGTCCTGGCTGAAGCAGCGCGCATGCTCAGGCTCCTTGTCTTATGTCCCTTGTCCAAGATGGTTCAAGCTTGTGTTCAAGTACAACCAACTCGTGCTAATGTGCTTGAACTGAGTGCGGGCTAATGAATACGACTTGTTCTGACTGTACATCTTCAGAGAAGCAAACTTTTGCTGCACTGTAACAATATCATTCATAAATAAAATAACTGTAAATAAACATGGGTTTTTGTGTCTTCTTCAAGCTGCCCGGTGACGAGTGATTTGGGCAGTGTTTGCGGATGCTTTTTATGTGGAGTGCTCTTGTGCGGTTTCTTCCTTTTTGTCCTGTCAAAACACCTGTAGTCTTCATCTCTGCTCTTTTTTTTCTGTGTTCGTTACTCTCTTGTAACACCTCAAATATTCAGCAATATTGTAATTTAGTGTCAGACTACTAAGTGATCCCTTGATTGCCACGTTCAGCACAGTATAGGGAGGCTTTGCTACAGGATTGTGAAGTCATGCTGGTTTTACTTTTGTAATAAAAGTGAAAATGCAGTACAGTGCAGCCTCTCTATGACGACATCCTCTGTAGAGCGACATGGTGGCCAGGTCCCAATTTTTTTCTTATATCATTATAAGTAATATTTTTGGTTGCTTCTCTGTAACGACTTTTTTTCTGGTCCCGACGATGTCGTTATAGAGAGGCTGCACTGTACATTGTCTCAGGGTGTGGTATGCACTATACACATGAAATCGGTCCTTCAACTTCCAACTGCAGGATTATAAAAGGCTGTGCAAGCTTCACTTGTCCTTCTGTTCCTCTATATGTGTTTGTCCCAAATGCGTTGGTTTTTATCGAATCCCTTAAAATTTTAAAAGAACTGAAGGTGTGAAAGCTCAATACGTGTGAAGGAGCTTCTGCACCAATGAGGTGTGTGATGTCTTCGTTATGGTCCACTATAGAACTTACAAGACATATTGACATTGGAGCTCGATGAAAATTTCCGTGAGTTTCAAGGGCAGCCACAAGGTCCTTGACTCTGACTTCACTACTGCTGGATACATACGTGCAACACGCTTCTTAATAATCTTAACTCAAAATTTTTAGTGGGTGGTTGGAATGTGCTCTGGAGTGGTTTGCTCCTTCTTTCCTTTAACAATCAAACACCAATCCTCTCGCCTCTTTTTTCAAATACATTGTACTTTATGTTACTATTATTACTACTGATTTACTATCCAGTAACACCTCCGATCTTCAACGCTTAGAGTGAGGACCTAGATCTAACTGACATTGTAAGTGCTTCAAAAATTGTTCAGTGTTAAATAAACTGTCAACTTTTGAGAGAATTATGCTCGACCTTCCCTGGGTTTCAAGGATGTTCATCAAGAAGATCATGCCCCTGTTTGGTTACTGGTAGCACGTGTGTGTGGAAAGCTGTTCTCTGCCATGAACAGATCCAAACTTTGGGGCTCTCATGGCCTAGAGGTTAAGGTGTTCGCCTCTCATTCAATAGGTCCCGAGCTTGAATCCGGATAGCGCTGGAAATATTTTCTTCTCTAATAATTGTATCCTTTTGCTTCACACTCTTTCCTACTCTCTAACAATGTTCTGTCATCTGCTTTCGACTCCACTTTCTGCCCCCATCCCCTCACCTCCTTTGCCCCCTCCTATGGGCTCCTGACTTTCTGCATCCTTTCTTCTGCTACTCCTTGGCTCCTCACTGCGGTCTTTCAGCCACATCCCTGATCTTATGGCTTATGGTAGGTAAGATCTACACCTAGCCTTCTCGGATAAGGGTGAAAAGTCTTGGGGGTCTCGTGTGCAAGTGGCGCACGTTACAAATCCCTTGATGGTCCAAAATCGATAAAAGTAGGCTTCGGTCGCCACCCGGGCAAAATTCAAAATTTCCTACCAACTAAATGCTTAATGTGTCCCGCGCGCTCATATGACCTTATGCAGTTGCGACCTATTGAATGAGAGGCGAACACCTTAATCTCTAGACCACGAGAGCCCCCACTTTGAGTTTGAGACCATGACTAGTCTGGATGAATGCTATGGTACTGTATTTTCTTGGCTTGAAATTGAAACTGAAAAGAATACATGTAATAACTCATTTAAATTGAATGCAAATCCCGTGGGCTGCCAGGCAGCGATCATCTAAAAAAATTTCGATCAGATAACACACTTTTGAAATTCTCTACTATAAAGAATATCGGATCTCTGTCATCGTACCTGTGTAAACAGTAAGACTCACCCTTACAGTACACACTCTTTGATTCCAAACGTAGGCTGCTGACCATGTCTCTCCTTTAGAGCATTTTTGTTTGAGTAATGTTTTACGGCGCTCACAACTGCGTAAGGTCATTTGAACGCCAAGGGGTCGATGTCAACAGAGAAGTCCAAACGGGGAATCAGGCTTACTCTGCTCACCTCTCTTGCCTCAACAGCACAAAGTCTGCTTCGACTATCAACAAGGTACCCCGGAAATAGCAGTTCACAAGAGGTGACTAACAGGATACAAAAGAAGTAGACGGAAAAATGGCGATAGTAAGGACGAGGAAAGAAAAAGCAGCAGTTCCCCCTATGTTGTTCCGGCACAGTATGAGCATGACATTGAATTGATAATTCAGCCCATTTACAATGCTACTGTGCTTAAGAACATGTTAATATTTCTCCATTGGGAATAGCCTATAAAGACAACTTCAGTCAGTAGCACGCTGGTTGGGGGGGGGGGGGGGGGTTGAGTATACAGTGGAACTCGGATTTAACGAGATGAGATAGATTCCCCGGGGTTTTTTTCTTCTTTAAAATCAATAAATATAACCCGGATTCAACGAGCACTTCAATCAGCGAGCTCGGATTCAACGAGGTCGCTTCCAGGGTGAACAGCCCACGCAGACGTGGCTTCGCTCATTTTTCTCCCAGAACGAACTTTATCTATTCCCGGAAACCATCCATTGCAACTGCATCGTGAACCTTTATTCACTTACCCGATTACATGCGACCAATCAGGGCCTTTTTCATACCAACACATGCGTTGTTGGCTCGCGCCCGAGTCTACTCTGGCGTGTGTCGGGGTCGGATGGGCGGCCTGCACACGTGAGGCTGTGTGTGTGTGTGTGTCGGGGAAGGGGGGGGGGGGGGGCGCACTAGCGGTCTGGGCTTTGAACGTCACAGTCACAGATACAAACGCGTCACAGTCTTTTTCCCCCCTCGGCAACTGACCATTATTACAATGATAATTAAGCTAGATCTAGTCCTGACGTAGATCTACGTAATGAATTGTGCGCTGGTCTATGAAATCAAAAGTTGCCGTTATGCTAGGCTCTACACAGCAACACAACTTTTTGGTAAACAATCGAGATGACAAAGGCGTGTGTATTTGAACGAAGCGGGTCTTTTTTTTAAACCCAGCTCATAATATGCAGGCATTTCAGACACTACTTGTGACTTCTCTTTATACGTTGCTTGCTCAGTGCCTGTAATTATCTACACAAAACCTCGTGTTTGCTATAACGAACACTCGGATTCAACGAGATTGTAGGTCAGGCCCAACGACCTCGTTGAATCCGAGTTCCACTGTAATACCAGAGAGCTTAGAATTACCGAGAGGGGAAAGCGATGCGGGATGCGCGTATCGGGCTCTGCGCATAGCAACGCCCAAGTAAGACGGTAAACACGAATCATTCTGTTCAACAATGGCTGCGAAAAACACGCATTGTAAGTGGTCCTCTGCGATAAACTGTACAAATTCTAAGAATAAACGGCCCGACCTTTCATTTTTTAGATTTCCAGCCTATCCTGCAAGATAAGAATTATACTGTGCTTTCAATTCTTTATTTGAACTATTGTTTATTTAGATTTAAACTCAATTTGGTTTTACTAGATCTAGATCTAGAATCTAGAATCAAATCTAGATCTAGTAATAAAGAGGGCCCACTATCACTCGGCCAGGAAATAATTAAGAGCCTAACGGAGCCTTAGGCATAGCAAACTGACCAAATCAAAAATAATTCATACCGGTATCAGTCTTTTTTCTCTTTGCTTACATATTTTTACAGAATTATAATTATAATCTACCCCCTTTCCCGCATTTGCCTATTTCTTCATACAAGCATTTTTGTTTTAATATGTGTTTAAGTATGACAATTCATTTGAAAGCACGTGATTAAATAAACCACAAAAAAACAGATGCAAAGATAATGCAGAATTTGTACAAACATTTCACAAATTGTTTGTTATTTAAAAAACAACAACAGCTAATAGTAATACATGTAATAGGTGGAGAAATATCAGCTGAGCAATGCCCAATATAACTGAAGAGGATTTTTGTTTGTTGACTTATTCATGATATACCGGTACTATGGTGCTTGTCACATTGAAAATGGATGTATTATGATCTTTGACATAATAATTTATAGCCACTGTATTTTTATTTGTTTATTGGGCACTTTGCATTTACAATTGTTATATTGATACCTCATTCAGATGTAAACAATGGGTGGTGAACACCAGGAGACAGGACATAGAGGGTAAACCAGCAGCTCATCTCAGCAAGAACAATTACTTGTTCTCTGAACATTTCGAAAGTCGTTTCTTTAGTAAAACAGCGAAAAAACGACCAGGCCTGGTAAGGGGTGCCATTCCTACAGTTTTCGACGTTCCAAATCCTCCTCCTAAAATCACACCATCTCGGCCAGGTCCTAAACCACGACCACCGCCTGAAACCCAGGAACTGTCACAGCCATCCTCACCACCCCACACCTCTGACTTCAACACCAACGTTCCTTGCTCTTCCACTAGTCATACACAGGAACAAAGAGAAAACTTAAAGCAGAAAGAACGAAAACGTGGCGAATGAGGAAAAGGTTAAAGTTATCCAACGAAGCTAAACAAAACGCTATCACTGCTACCACCACCTCATCAACTGATGACACTTCTGAAAATTAGAAGGAACTTCTAAGTCATCATTTGCCCGAGAGAGCATTTAAGTTTGTTATAACTCAAATCCGAGTTTCCAACATTGGAAGCGAGGCTCGAAGATGGACATTTCAGGAGAAAAGCTTTGCTCTGTTGCTGTATCATGCCAGCAAAAAAGCATATGATATAGTTTACTACAAAAAATCTTCCATCTACCAACCCCACGCACCCTTTCTTTAGCCTTGCACAACGTTAACATTCGCCCAATGATCTGTGAAAACATCATGCGTTTGTTCAGGATTAAGGTGATGCAGATG